AACTTACTCATCTGTATGTCTATCTGTTTGTGTCTGTGTGAATGTAAGTTGTGCATAAGTGGGTACTCAAAGAGGGTGTTAGATCCCCTGAAAAAGCAGGAAGCACTCATAACCACTGAGCCCTCTCTCCAGTTCCCAAATCAGCTTTTCTTTCTTTCTTTTTTTTTGATTCAGAATCTCTGTCTTTATAGCCTGGCTGTCCTCGAACTTACTCTGTAGATCAGGCTAGCTTTGAACTCAAAAGATCTGCCTGCTTCTGCCTCTGGGATTAAGGAAGTGTGTTACCATAGCCCTGCTAGCTAAAATTTCTTTAAAACTCATTTTGTGTTCATCATGGTGCCAACATGGAAGTCATAGCACAACTTTAAGGAGTTAGTTCTCTCCTTCAACTGCTGTCTTCCAGGAACAGGCTAGAAAATTTCCTTTCCTCTCTCCCTTCCCTTTTTTTCTCACTCTACCGATGATCGAATCTAGAGCCCCAACCATTCCAGGCAAATGTTCTTCCACTGAGCTATACCCCCATCTCTCTTTTATCTTTCCGTTGAGACAGTCTTACTTAATTACCCAGGCTGGCCTTGAACTTGCAGTTCTTTGCCTCAGCTTCTCAGTAACAGATATTTCAGGCCTGTGCTACCAGGCCTGGCTTCATTGAGTTTTAATGTATAGAGCATCATAGAAGAATTCAAATATAAATTTAAGCCACAGAGTCTGATGGAAGTGGGAAATAGATATATTTACAAATAACATCTATAAAACTCAAAAAAAAATTTTTTTTGAAACAGTTTTTTTTTCTTCCCTGTGTAGCCTTGGCTGTCCTGGAACTAGTTCTATAGACTAGGCTTGCCTTATACTCAGAGATCTGCCTTCCTCTATCTCCCCGAGTGCTGGGATTAAGGGTGCACTACCATTGCCTGGCTTAAAACACTAAATTTTAATAGGAGTTATTTCATAAAGCAACAAACACAGGAGCATGCTTAATTCTTACAAGTCATGTACTATTATTACCACATTATACAGATGGAGCACCAAGGCTCAGTGTGATGGTTTAAATGAGAATGGCCTCCAAAGGGTCATATATTTGTATGCTTAGTCCCCAGCCGATGAACTGTTTGGGAGGAATTAGGAGGTATATTCTTGTTGGAGGAGTTGTCCCTGGGGTTTTGAGGTTTCAAAAACCAATGCCAGGCTGGAGCTGGTGGTGGGTTCCAGGACAGCCAGGGCTACACAGAGAAACCTTGTTTCCAAACACCAAAACCAAACCAAATAACCAGGCCCAGGGTCTCTCTGCTTTGCTTGCTTCTCATCATAACCATGGGCTAACCCTCTAAAATTGTAAGTGAGCCTCCAATTAAATGCTTTCCTGTATAAGAGTTGGTCACGGTGTCTCTTCACAGCAATAGGACAGTAAATAAGACATCATTGTTCTCAGTCATATACCAAGTAAGAATATGGCTGCTGAACTGCATGCAGATGGGGGGGCTTCAAAACTGGACTAGGAAATCTGGATTTGACTTTGCAGCGATAAATTGTTACAGTAGAGTCAACCAGTGGCAAGATTTACTGTGGCAACAAATTTTAAGAGGTGGGAAGGATGGCTCTGTGGTTAAGAGGGTGCTCTTCCAGAGGTCCTGAGTTCAATTCTCAGCAACTACATGGTGGCTCACAACCATCTGTAATGAGATCTGGTGTCCTCTTCTGGCGCACCAGGCAAAACACTGTATACATAATAAATCAAATCTAAAAGAGGTGGGAAGAAGCATGCACTTATGCTACAGAGCTCAACTTTGAAATTACTGAGATGTCTGTCTAGATGTGACTAAGAACCACCGAGTCACACTAAACTAGGAGTGAAAGCTGTAAAAGAAGGGTTTATGAGAAAATAAAGGAGGCAGATCTAACAGTATTTCAAAATTCATTAAATCTAGGGATGAGAAAGGTTATCAACTTCAGGGAACGGGGATAAAGTTCAGTGGTAGAGTAGCATGCACAAGGCCCTGCCTCAACCACACCACCACCAACAAGCCAACAAACAAGTCAAAACAAGACTAATACAGACACAACAATCACCAGTTCCAGTCTTTGAAAGGCCCAAGTAGTGTTTGTTAAGAATCAAAGGGCATTTAAGATTACAAGTAGAGAACAGTCCTTTGGTTTAAAACCAATAACCATTTTTTTTTTTTTTTGCCAATTTCCGATGAATCCAGACAATACAAGACTTCATTCACTAGCTCTTTAATAAACTCAACAGCGCAGAGTAATTTCTACTTTTTAAAATGTCCAATTTATGGCTTAGTAAATCTTTAACAGATCCAACTAAAAATGAAGGGGTTTCACATAGAGGTTTCTGTGATTAAAATGTGCACTCAAATATAAAATTAGTAAATGTGATCTTTTCCCTGCATTGGAGTCTTTACAGAACCAGTGATAAACAGGCTATACACAAAGCAGATCATTTAGCCACCCCAGAAAAACGACCCAGTATCAATCTTGTACTCTGCAGTCTAACGACTATGTGTAGGATCTCAGCATTACAAATGGGATAGGCTCAGACCAGTCAGTAGTGTCTAAGAGACAGACAGCTTTAAACTGGGTCTTGTTTTACGGGGTGCAGAAAAAACACCTGCAAAAACTAGTTGTCTCCGGTTAGAAAATGGATGTTCCTCCACGGACTTATTACCAGGCCAGATACTACACATTTAAATTTAACCTGCATGCAAGAGGGCAAGCAGGTGTACAGCTGACGACGCATCAGAAATCTAATTCTTGGGGCTGTAGAAACGGCTCGGCACTTTCTGCTTTTCCAGAGAACCCGAGTTTGGCTCTTAGTACCCACGCCAGGTTCACAACCTCCTACAACTACTGTTTCACCGGATCCGACGCCCTCTCTGGCCTCCGTTGGTACTACATTCACGTGCACAAACACACAATTAAACATGTCTGAGAGCTTAAAAAAAAAAAAGGATAAATTCTCGATGAATGCAGTAGAATGTGCACATTTATTTAAACAGAACACACTGCCTCACTATAGACTTAAAATTGTTTAAAAGGGGACAAGAAAGAGGAACAGTATTTCCCCAAAAGAAATCCAAATACACTTTCTTTTTGTTTGTGACAGGGTCTCACTTTTTTAGCCTAGACTGGCCTGGAACTCGCCCTAGCTCTCTTGGAACTCGCTTTGTAGACCAGGCTGGCCTCTGCCTCCCGAGTACTGGGATTAAAGGCAAAGCCACCACGCCCGGCTTTCCAAATGCACTTAAATTTTTTTTTATTTTTTTTTATTTGTAGTGGTGTTTTGCCTGAATGTATATTTGTGTGATGGTGTCAGACCTTGGAGTTGTGACAGTTGTGAGATGCCATGTGGGTGCTGAGACTTGAACACGAGTCCTCAGAAAGAGCAGCCAGCGTTCTTAACCGCTGAGCCATCCATCTCTCCAGCCCCTCAAATGCACTTTTTAAAGCTGTGAGTCTCCGGTTCCTCACAGACAACCACGCGCCTCGGTGCTGACCGCAGCCTTGGTCCTGTCCCTAACCAGGTAGCCCTCTGGCCGCCCGCTGAGAGTTCAGCTTCGGGAAGGCGGAGGAACCTCCACTGTGGTAACCATGCCGACCGGACCTCAGGGCCACTTCCGGCTCCCACGAGCGCCGGGACCTGCGGCCGCAGCCGAGGAAAGGCGGGAGGAGGGTTGGCGCGGCCGGGGGGCTTCGGTCGGGCCGGCTTTACTCACTTCTTCAGCTCGGGAGGGTGGGCCTTGCTCATGGCGACTTTCCAGCGGGCTCGGGACGATGGAAAAGAGCGGGCGGCCTCACAAACGCACGCGCAGCAGGCCGGGCGCCGGTGTTGACGTCACTACCGCGCGAGCCAATCTCATTTCATCTCGCGATACTGAGGACGCCTGAGTCAACGCCACACTTCCGTTTTCGTCGTCAGTGATTGGCTAGGATTGAGAGGCGGGGCCCGGGCTAAGCGTCCTTTGTGTGAAATTGAATCGGCAGCTTTCGGGCCCCTTTTTGTCTTAATTTTCCCCTTTCCTTTTTTTCTTTCTCGTTACATTTTCTTCGTTTCTCCTTCCCTTTCCTCTTTTCCTATGCCCTCCCCCGTTTTTAATGTAAGAAATCCATCTTCCTGCCTCCGCCTCCTGCGCCAGGATTACAGGCTGCCGCACCACGCTGTCCTTTATTTCCTGAGCGTACCCAGGCAAAGGTGAGGCCTCCTGAAGCATCCAAATAATCAATGGCTTCTCTGCACCAGTAGCGGGAAGGGGCCGAGGCTGATTCTAGGATGTGAATCAGGAGTCTGGAGTATTCTTGACCCATAGCCCTGCAGTTCTGCGTCCAGAAGCCCACTTAGCACATCACGGCCCCTGTACATAAAACGTGAGGCGTATCACAAGAAAGCCCAGAGGTCTTGAGCCTGCCTCTGCCTCCTGAGTGCTGGGAGTAAAGATGTGCACCTTCCCAGGGGTGGCACTCAGGCCCTCAGTGACTTGGGTTTTCTTGCTTCAGTCATCAAGAAAACGCCCCCACAGTTGGAGGCAGTTCAACTGAGGTTCATACCATGTGACTAGTTTGTGTCGTTGACAAAAATCAACCAGCACAAGGAGTCTTTAAACTGTATACCCTTTCCACCACTTGCTGTTAGGGGTCTCAGTATGTAGCCCAGGCTGTCCTCAAACAAGGGCAGTCCTCCTCTCAACCTTGGAAGTACTGAGTTTACAGGTATGCAGCCCTAATCCTATTATTTTCTGGAGGAGCTTTCGAGACAGGTCTGTGTAGTCCAACTATCCTCAAACTCAAGAGATCCACCTGCCTTTGCCTCCCAAGTGCTGGGACTAAAGGTGTTATGCCACCATCGCTTGGCGCTGGGTGTCTTTTCTACATTAACAGACTTTAAGCCATGATGCTCTGACTTTCCCTTAGTGCTTTCCATCTACTACTGTGCACTCTCAGGATGTCTTAAAATTTAGAGGCATACTGATATATCACTACCCACTAGGAAAAAGTTGGAGACCATGAAACTTTATTTAAAAACAAAACCACTTGGAAAATATATCACAGGCTCGACAGCAAACTGACAAGAATTATCACTGTTTCAAGTAATTAATTGGTATAAATACAACATAGTGCTTATCCAAAGATAAGGTGCCACGTTGGGGCAGCAACACTGCACTGCAAAGCCCCAGGCAGAAACGGCATTTGGTGAGGTGTGCCTGTCCAGCTCTACAGTGGTCCCCGCTTTCCTTGGCCCAAGCTGCTTACTCTTAGGCTTCCTTGTGCTAGAGGATTAACTCTAAAAGGCTCAAGGGGCCGAGGGAGTAATATTGGGTTTGGATTCTGTAAAATTCAGGTTTTCCCAAACCTAGTACTTCTCAACAGTTCCTATTTGACTGTTTATTCTCAGCTACTGGTATGTGACTGACAATCACACTCCCTTGCTCTTCATGGGGATGTGTCACCTTGCCACAGAAGTCAGAGAAGGAAGCTGTTTCCCATGCACAGTATGATACTGCCCTGTTTCTTCAGGGGCTTCCAGAATGACAGGATTTGAAGAAACAGACTTTCCCATCTTGATGGCCAAAACTTAAAGGAACCTTTAGAAGCTATTCAAACTTCTCTCCCTCCTGCATCTTAAATCCACTTTGCGCCCTTGCATGTAAGACAAACCGAAAAGATCTAGAAGGAAACCTTTTCCTCCCTCTAAATGACTAGCCGACTGAGTGTTGTTTCAGAGCACATGCAAGGTATGTGTGGTAAACAGGAGCTTGGCAAAGAGACACACTTCTCAAACTTTACCAGCAGGCTGAAGAAAGCTGCCAGCTCGATGTCTCTGCAGTGAGAATCTGAGTCCTCGGTATAAGGGCAATCTCTCCTGACAGAACAAGCACTGGCCCGTGACAATTTAGGTCTAGAATTCTCCCCTGTGCTATCTGTGATCCAAATTTTAGCACCAGCTTCTTTCCACTTCACCTTCTAAGGTCCAGATGCAAAGGAACTGGTGTCCAGGGGTGAGTGGCATTTGCCTGGAACTTGCTGTGTCCTGAGTTTTCCTCATTCATAAACACTGCTTATAAACATTCTAAACTTCCATTCTTCCTTTTAAATAGCGTGCCCTCAGCCCCACGGTCACTGGCAAACCATTTTATTTCCCGATGGATGACAGAGACTCCTTCATCTTTTTGGTCATTGTTGGGATGAGGTGCATGTGGTCATCCACACACTTGGCCACACAGCTGTCCAGCTGCCGCTTCACCTGCAGCTCCTTGTTTCCTGCGTCCATCGAGTCTTTGGCTTTGTCATTGCAGTGCATGGTGCACCGGGCCAGGCGGTCCTGTGTGAGGAGGAAGAGAGAGGAGGCTGAGGAGCTGGCTTCTGCCGTCTAAAGAGTGTTGGGCCCATGCTAGGCTCTGGGCTACAGGCTTCATACAGATTGCCTCTCTGCCCGTTACTAAGTGCAGTATTTTCTTAGCTAAAACAAAGTACCACTGGGAAGGCTCAGACTAAGCACTGTTAGAAAGCAAAGGAATGAAAAAATGAATTTTATTCAAGATGGTGGCAGCAAACAAAAGACTCTTGTTAGGTTTTTCTTTTCTTCCATTTTTCATGTGTGGTGCTGTGTGTTTTTGCATGTATTTGTGGATGTGGAGGCCCAAGGTCCACGTTGGGAACCATCCTCCATTGCTCTTCCAATAGTCGCTGAAGCAGGGGCTCTCAACCAAACTCATCTCACTGATATGGCTAGTCTTGCTTGCCAGCTTGCTCTAGAGAGTCTCTGTTTCTGTCTTCTGAGGCTGGAACTACAGGTGGGCTGCCATACCAGAGACAATGGTTTCTGGTGAACTGAACTCCGAGCATGTTTGCGTGGCAAGTGCTTTAACCCCTGAATCATCTCCCTAGCACACATTTTAATCCCTTAATGTCTGTCTTTGCTACAGAAAAACAATCCAAACAGTTGTCAAGCATCTACTGTGTGCTAGGCTTTCTTCTAACAAGAAATACAGAGAGGATCAAAGCTTAAGTGTTCCTGCTCACTTGGGATTTGTAGTAGACATGTTAAGAAGAGAGCTGGACATGTGAATCAGGAGTTCAGGAGTGAGGTGAAGTCTGAAGCAAGAGGTCTGAACGCAAGCACAGGCAGGGGTGTCTAACATTCTGGCTTCTCTTGGCCATTCTACTATCTACAAACTTTATGCTCAAGAAATGTAAAACTACCAGGTGTAGTGGTACACGCTTTTAATCCCAGTACTTGGGAGGCATAGGCAGGAAGGATCTCTGTGAGTTCAAGGCCAGCCTAGTCTACGAAGCAAATTCCAAGACAGCTAGGGCTGTCACACAGGGAAATCCTGTCTCAAAAAAACAAAACAAACAAACAAAAAAACATACAAATGTCTGAAAATAGTTTAAAAAGGTTTTTAATTTTATGTTGGGCTGCATATGGCCCAGAAGCCACTGGCTGGGCACCCCTGCTGTAGGATATTAACAGTTATGAGAAAAGAAACCAGGACCGATGCTAGCCTGTATACACTACTGGGCAGAGGCTGGAACGGGGAAAAGCCAGCAAAGGAGGCAGAGGTAAATGGCCTAGAGGGTGGAAAAGCAGGAGTGAAGTGTGTAGACAGGTCAGGGCAGAGGGCTGAGCACTGCCTGATGGACCTAGCCCCGTGGGTACCCTCCTCATCACCACCGTGAGCAGCTCCAAAGTGTAAGTTAGCCTGGAGTGATTGTGAAGGGAGGGAGAAACTTCTACAGCAACCCAAGAACCAACTTTTTAAAGATCTCATCTAGAAATTTCTCAAAATGAAAAGGTGCAATAATCTGCCGTTATTACTTCACAATGGCTGGGCCTTTGAAGAGTTTTGTACATCAGAGTGTGCAAGTGTATCCCAGGTTAGGTGGAACAAGAGTGCTGGCTTCCACATCCCACAAAACACACTTGGAGACTTTATAGTACACTGTAGGGCCTGGTGTCACAGGTTTGTAATCCCAGCACTTGGGAGGCAGACACAGCAGGATTGCTGATTTTCAGGCCACTCTGGGCCACAGAGCTGAGACCCTGTTTCAAAAACCTGAAGAATACTAAGGCTTTTTATGACTGTGTTTTGTACCATGGAAGCCTCTCTCCAGGTGTCCCATAGGTGACATTCTGGGGAGGGTTTAAGACCACAAACACTGTGAAGGACTGACTCCAGTCTGCACCTTTTACACTGTGTGTGTGTGTGTGTGTGTGTGTGTGTGTGTGTGTGTGTGTGACTGGCATGTGTGCTGGGTAAGCCTATAACATCAGAGGACAACCTGTGGAGTTGCTTCTCTCCTTCCATCTTTTTCCCCCCAAGACAGGGTTTCCTGTGTAGTTTTGGTGCCTGTCCTTGATCTTGCTCTATAGTCTAGGCTGGCCTTGAACTCACAGAGATCCGCCTGGCTCTGCCTCCTAAGTGGATTAAAGGCGTGCACAACCACCACCCGGCACACCTTAATTTTTTTTATTTGTTTTTGAGACAGGGTTTCTCTGAGTTTACCTGGCTGTCCTGGAGCTGGCTCTCTAGAACAGGCTGGCCTTGAACTCAGAGATCCGCCTGGCTCTGTTTCCTGAGTGCTGTGATTAAAGATGTGTGCCACCACCGCCTGGCTACTCTTCTTCCATCTTTATGTGGATTCTGGGGATCACTCAAGTTGCCAGGCTTGTGTGGCATGTACTGAGCTAGTCACTAATCTGTATCTTTTACAGACCTTAGTCTACTTTTCAGGAAATTTCATTATTTTAGAAATGAATCAAAGAGGAAGAACTCATAAGATCCTACTCTTAGCTGAGGAACTACTAGCAGGTGTCCCCCCCCACCCCCCTCGAGACAGGGTTTCTTTGTATAGCACTGGCTGTCCTGGAATTTGCTCTGTAGACCAGGCTGGCCTTGAACTCAGAGATCCTCCTGCCCCTGCCTCCTGAGTGCAGGGATTAAAGGGGTTCGCCACCACTGCCTGGTTGAAAGTTAGAAAAAAAATATTTGTATTTGTGTTCCTGAATGTATGTATGTGCACCATGTGAGTGCAGGAACCTACAGAGCTCAGAAGAGCTGTCATATCCCATGGAATTGGAGTTGCAGATGGTTGTGAGCTACCATGTGGGTGCTGGGAACCCAACCTGGGTCTTCTTTAAGACCAGGAAGTGCTCTTCCCCACTGAGGCATCCCTCCAGCCCTGAGCCAGCAGGCAGTTAAAGGTTGCTGCAGGAAGAAGTCCTTTGCCTTCAGTGATGCCACCACTGTAAACTGCCCTTGCTCGTGCAGTCTACCTTCATTAAATCCAGAGTGAACAGTAAGAGGAAAAAAGGGGTCCAGGAGAGGAACGGGTAAAAACGTTCTCTAAATATTAGAGAGTTGAATTAAATAATTGAGATGATGTTTTATTTTATTTGTTGTTGCTGAGATTTTACCTTTTATGTGTGTGAGTGTTTGTCTAAATGTCTGTGCACCACACGTGTACAGTGACCACAGAGGGCCGAAGAGGCTTCAGATCCCGTGACTGGAGTTACAGATGACTGCGAGCCACCATGTGGGTGCTGGCGCCTCTGGGAAGCAGCCAGTGCTCTTACCTGCTGAGCTGACTCTACAGCTCCAAGTTAAAGGACATTTTAAGGAGTTTTATACTACACAGCACAGATTGTATTTGGCGCTCAGCACATCAAATGACAAGCCAATGGCACAGACACTTGGCTATCAACTCCCTTGGTAACTTTCTATTACTACGGGTAAATTACATCTCATCTCTATGGGAAAACACGGCACAACTTAAGAGCACTCAACTCCTAGGGCTTTTCCCAAAACTTCAAACCCCAAGAAAACCAGTTAGCCAACAGACTGCCACCAGTCTTAACAGAAAGAACTAAGGCCCTAAAGCAGAATAAATGCTTCTCATCTCCCATCAAAGAGATGTTCAAGGACTTGAGAACTCTGTCGCATTCCTCACCTGGAACCTTTCCAGCTCACTGGTCACCAAGGCCTGAGCTTGAGCCAAAGGCGCATGGCAGCGCTCGATGCATTGGTGCACCTGCTGCATAGATGCCTGGTTGTCCTCACAGCAGTTGGCGCTACACCGGAACATGAGGCCCTGGGGAGCGAGAGCAGAGCCTGGTTAGAAAGGAAAGACTCCCAGGACAGCCCACCAAGGACTACAGGGGTTCGGAGGCTATGCTTCTACTTGTACGTTCCTCACCATCCTTTGCTTCACTTACCCTGAGAATATATCATCAGGACTTCCTAACACTGGGACGATGACCCCGCCTAGCATTTGTGGGCTGGGGATATACGTACTTGGGAGAGCGCTTGCCTAGTTCTAATTTAGCCCTGTGTTCCATCCAGCACCGCATAAACACCAGAGGGGTGGCTCATGCCAGTAATCCCAGCACTCCGAAGGTGGAGGAAGGGAGATGAGGAGTTGGAAGCCAATCTGGGTTGAACGAAAGCCTGTCTGTTGCTACTAGCTCACTGGTACACAACGCACCCAAGGCTGGGCGGAAAGAAAACCACGTTCTGAAACCCAGGTATCTGGGTTCAGAGGTCGGCCTGGTTAGTCAACGCCCCACCAGGGGACAACCCACACAGTCGACGGTGGGGTCGTAAGGTCGTGACGGCAGCAAGGAAAGGGAGGCGGGGCCGCGCCCACGGTGTTCAGGGGTCGTGGCATCTGAACCAGCCCTGGACAGCCGGAAGAGACTTCGGCCTGGTGGTTCTCCTGAGCCGGTCCCTTCGGGCCTCGCGCCGGATCACCTCAAGGGCGGCCGAACACGCGTAGCCCAGGCCAGGCAGGAGGAAACGGCCCCGCGCGAGGCCCTGGGCTCGAACGTCACCGCCCCACCCCCGCCCGAGCTTTCCAATCCCACCCCGGTCCGCTACCTGCATCTTCCGGATGTTCTCCCTCTCTACACTTTTCACCATGGCGTCCACAGCCTCCTGCACTCGGAGTTGCTGCACCTC